CGTGGACAAGAACACAACGTTTAACTTCTGGATACCATTCTTCCTGCCACTTTTGGGTGTTTCTAGCAGTGTGACACGGTGCTCCATCTTCCTGGAACGCCCTGGCCGAGCCAATCTCCTGACATGAACCCCATCGAAAACCTCTGGGCCATACTCGATCAGCAAGTCAAGAAACAACCAAAAAAACCAACTTCGAAGAGCGATCTACTCCAAGTTTTGAAGCAAGAGTGGGCGAAAATCCCACAATCTAAAACTAACGAGATGATTCTCACGATGCCCCAAAGGATCAACGAACTCCACGAAGCAAAAGGAAGATCTACTAGATATTAATTAAATTATAAATATATCAATTCATGTGACTATGACTGAAAAATTAAATTTTTTCTGAAAAGGTGGTGTCTATTTACTTGTGACCACGCTGTGTATTTATTTTTACACATCAATTTAAAAAAAAATAACAATTCAATGTTCTCTATAGTTCAAAATAGAAGATTACATCATATTAAATTTTTTTTATTGAACTGATAGAGTCTAAAGACATCTTTAATATAGCCAAGTTTTAAAGGAATTACCTCTCTACATTTGTATTTTATATTATTAAACTATTAAGGCCATGTTTATAATTTCTGATAATTCAAATATATGCTCCATTACTGTTTAGTGCAGCTTTCATTTTTATTATAGGCTTCCCCCTGACAAATGTAATATTTGTTTCAGTATAAATACGTTAAGATGAAGTTTCCTACAGAAAACTATAAATATGGAACCATAATATCAGACTAAATCTTATCTTTAGATTCATAATTTTGACCATCACATGTATACAACTGAGAAAGATACTGTTAAAATACAGTTGGTTGTCTCGCTAAATCGAACAAGGCTTTAGATGTTATTTTTCCTTTGTCTGTACATATCCAATACTTAACTTATTTTCAAATTATCAGCATAATAGCTGTGGTTAAACACTTCAGTTCACATTTATAGTGTAGGAATATTATGTTACCACATATTACCTTATGGCATTTTAAGGTATATTGTATTTTCTACTACTAATTTTGGGAGTTAAAATTAAGTCAATGAATAAAAATAAACTTCATTTGAAGCTGCATTTTTGTTTTTATGTCAAAATCATTTTCTTTTTCAGTCAGTTACGTGTACTTATTTTGAAGCAAATAATCTTGTGAAGAAATTTAGGACTAAGTCAGTAATAATTATTTTAACCAACTACAACATGGTAAAAATGAACAGAAATGTATAAATTGATGTGGTACAAAAAAATAATGTAAAAACATCAAATTACAATAGACATTCAAGTGAAACATAATTTAAGCTTTGTTTAAATGGAAAATTTGTTTGCAAATCTATGCAAAGGGCTATCAACTTATACGTATAGCCATCCATAATACTGAACTAATAAATTAGGAAGAAGTCAGCTGGTCAACAACATACATTGGATAAAAGATAATAAAGGATAACACTAGCCAACAAGTCATTTTCATCAGTTATAATTATAGATGGGCTAGATAGCTATTAGGACTGATTCCTAATCTGTTTTTGGTTTTCCTCTAGTGCGTCAAGATTTCGTGATGAGACCAATCACATTTGAAAGGTTATTATAATTATAATTTAAGTTGGTGTACATTTCTTTTTCATAAGTGTGTACTGTATAAATTTAACCAACTGTATGTTGTGTATAATATTTATGGGAATTATACTGAAAAATGAATAAAGCTGTAACGTTAACTAGCCTAATGTGGGATTATTACCTAAATTGTGCTGAAATTATCACCAGTCATATTTCAATAATTATATGTGCTAGAAGGAAACTGAAAACAGATTTGGAATCAGCATGCAAAACTGGTCTACGAAAGTGTATTTACATCTTTGATGAGAGAAACAAGTTCGATTTTGTCGACCAGTATAATTGAACACATCTAAATAAAAACGTTTTTAGTTATATTTTGTGCAACATTTCAAGAAGACACCCTACATCAGGCAGCAAAAACCAGTTACTTGTTAATTAGGCTAAGAAAGAATCACTGAAGGATTAGATCATTGAAGGGTTAGAATATATATGCAGGTTCTAATTACACATGTTCAACATGGAGCACAGCAATAAGAATATTGTTTGCTGAAAGCATTATTGAATTTTTTTCATAAACAGTATTAAAATTAGCAAGAAATATAAAACAAGTAATTAGAGCAACTGAAATTAGACTTAGATATATAAACACAAAAAAATGATAAACAGAAATTTGCTAAAAAATAAAATAGTAAAATAAAATATTTATGAGAAAGTAAGGTAAGGTTGAAAAGGAGATTTAACATGGTAAGAAAAACAAGTCTAAAATCACTTGTTAAGTGGTGCATTTGTGATTACTAGGACTTCTATGTCAGAGGTACCATTATGATCAGGAGAACTGAATCGCCTAGGAACTGGAAGGTGTTTATGAAAACAATCACTAAGTCCATCAGCTGTTTCTCCAATAAGAAATTTAATGAAACCTACTACATTGAATAGTGATGCATTCTGATGTGCAGGTGTAATGTGCTATAACATGTAATGTGGAACTAGGGCCAGTTATTGCAGTGTTGTTTGAAATGTATAGACAGTATTAAAATTATTTCTTGTACAATAGTGAGTTCAAATAGCCTGAGAATTGTCTTGAAACTTCAAATGCACCAAGTGGTCTTTAAGTTTTGAATTACATTGATAAGAAACACTAAAGGAGGTAGATGTAGTGAATATTTCAACATTGATAGGGTCAGTCCTAAGTAATTTAAAATGTTTCTGTATTGTATTTGTTGCTAACCTGTTGGGGAGATGTATGCTAATATCAAGAGGGTTCTATTGTTTTGTTAGTGGTTTTTGAGAGAAGATCTTGATTCTCAGATCATAAGCATCTTAAGTCTTGTGAAATGCCTTTTAGAAATGTTAGTCTTGGTTTCATATGGATGAAGAGGTTCTAGTAAAATAGTCAGTCAGAACATGCACAGGGACAAAGAGAGAGTAAAAGGTTTGTTTCTGATATGTACCAGAGCAGAAAAGTTACTACTAATATGTTGTCACAGGTAAGTGGGAATTTAAGTCTTGCAAAACATGAAGTTATATTTAAAAAAATAAACAAACTGTAGATAAAACTTCATGGTATTTAGTGACTTCACAGATAATTACACAAGACAGTGCCTTACTGTCAGCTATCAGTACCTATAAAACAGCAGGCATATAACATTGTACATAAGTAGAAACATGATGTTTTTTCAATTCATTTTCAATAAAAAATAAATAATATAGTAAAACAACAAAGAATGTGCCAAAATAAGTAACTGACCTTATTTCCCTGTACGTTAAAGAGAACATTTGTGACTTTGGCAAAAGTTCCTGGTTGTCGAGGAGAAGAAACCCCTTGCTGGTGACCCCACTCCCACATTTGTAAAGACCCATCCTGTGCTCCAGAAAGATCTAGAAAAGTAAAACAACTTTAAAAGCAAACTAGAAACCCTTCAATAAAATCCAAATATCTAATATAGTACACAGAGTGAAAAATGAAAACGTGGTACATTTCTATAACTTGTTTTCATACAGTGGAAAGAATTATATGAACAAGAGTCACATACATTACTAAGTATGAGTGGAGAGAACATGCAAACTTATTATTACTTTCAACTTAGTAAAAATAGTATGAAAAGGTATAGGTTACTATATATATATATATATACAGATACAAGACAAAGAAATGTACAATTACAGTCTACTATTTTCCATGATTTTAAGAAAATAATACCTTCTTATTAAATGTTCAGTTGTCAGAAAAGATTCTCTAGTTACTACTTGTTCAGTGGTATGGAAAAATTACCTGATCAATGGTATGGAATGAGGTGGTTATTACTTGTTCAGTTATAAGAAAAGGTTTCTCTATTATCATAGGTTTAGTTGTAGAATGCGTGAACTGGTTACTACTTACAAAGAGGCAGTAGAGGGTGAGCACACATCTTTCTCACTCCATCTGTCCTGTGTCTCTTGAGCTAAAGGTTTCCATAACACATACACATTAGTTAAGAGAAGTGTCTTACCCCAACCTCAGCTACAGAACTTAATACATTTATCAAACTGAAAAAACTCTATTTAACTTGATATCCAAATAATCACAGTTAATCACTGACTTAAGTTTCACGGTCCATAATTAAAGTATGTAAATTTCTAACAAAATATTTTTATTTCTATATAAATTTACAAATTTAAACAGCAAATAATAATTCTAAGAAATTATGTGCAATGAAGAAAATGTTAATAATACGTCGACCACACTATATCTGTTATATCCAGTGTCAACAAGGTCTTTCACCCAGGGTTCATCGACCAGCTGAGATACGACACACACACACACAGTAGTGGTTGAGGATTTATTTACATTATCAACTGCATGAGCAATAAGTATTATCTTGTGAACTACTTTAAGTAAAGTGTAATTATTATAAATTTTATCTAAGTCATTTACAAATCAGGATTACAGTAAGGACTAATAACACAATATCATTAATTTATCTATTTTTAACAATAAATTATTATTTTTCCTAAAATTAACTTTACTATCCTTCAAACGAACTGGGAAACTATTCTTCTTCTTGTAATTTACTTTTAGCCCTAACTATAATTTAGTGTGTTTGTTAACAACACAAGTGGGTATTATGAGATATCAGACTGAGTAAAATGTGTTTATCAATACGATAGTATGTGCTTATAGTTGAAGTGCCTAACAAAAATATCGTTTTTTTGTACTGAACTTTATATTTAACAATTAAAATACTAAAATGTTGGTAGTTTACTAAATATTTTACAAATTTTGAGTGTTATGTGAAATTACCAATTTTCAAGATTTCTAAATAAACAGAAAAATAAGACAAATAGCATGTACTTGAATAGAAATATTCAAAACATTATTTGAAAGATATAGTTATCATAATAACATTACTGACTATATATGTATATTTATTTATACAACAGCAAAGTTTTATTGAACTTTTTACAAGACACATTATTGATAATCTTTAACTTTTTAGTTTATTGCAAATTTTAAGTATAATATAATTTTGTACTAAAATTTGAAAGGGTTTATATTTTATTATACAGTGTCTATGTTTTATTACATGAAAAGGGTAGGGCTTTAAAGAGCAAGTAATTTTAAATAATTTTACAAACTGAAATGAAGAATAAAATTGTTATATATCACATGAGATACAGCTCATCCACAGTGAAATTAACAGTTTTAACTCTTTAAACCCATAATTTTTTGCTCATTCTGCCAGAACCATTTTCATGTTGTTCTAATAATTATCATCAAATTTTATAAAATTTCTGGTCTATTTATAAAAGGTGGATAATAACATGGTTTAGATTAGTTTTCAGCCAAAAAGACCTAAATGTTATTGGACTCTTTCACCATCCAATGGTTAAGTTGGGATTTTCAGTTGGATGTTAGCAGCATCCACTCAGGCTTAAGGAGTTAAAAAACCCAGAATGAATGTCAGAATAGTCTAAATAAGAACAACCTTAAACCCAATACTTAAAGTATCTTATTAAATGGACTGTTAATTTCTAAGAAGGATTAGGCTAGCCAAAAGAATTGCAGATTTTGCTTGAATAGAATTTAATTAGCCATGAATACTATGTAGATTGATATTCATGTTCATATGGGTACAACAAAGAAAAACAATAATAATAAAGTAGTACATGAATTCAACTTCAATAAACAGTATGCAAGCATAAGGTTCAGTAACTTACCAAATTAAAAAAAATTGCAACTAATACAAAGAAACATAAAAAATGTTTCATAAACCTTGTTACCCTATTTTAATACTAAGGGCTATTATATAATTTTGTACACACTTGACAGTATGTTAATAATTTAAAACAATAAGTCCAAGCACTTTCTAATAGTAGTGAATTTGAAATGGATCACTGTTAAAAGTATCAAAGTTAAATAAAGATCTAATTTTTTTTGCATAAGCTATTTCCTTCTTTGCTGACATTTACAATGACATACCTAAATATACTTGTGGTATTTTATCTTCCCATCAGTGTATCCTTTCATCAATTCATCTTATTAGATCTCCCACTTATCAATAGTGTATAAAATTATAAGTAATATACTTAAATCTAGTAACTGGCTTAAATTGTTATTGCATATATACGTTACTTGAAATATAACTACTCTATAGGAATTTTGTTAAAAACTATCTCAAGCATTCTTTAAAAACATGTTCACTAGAATATCCCAAATCACTGTGTCATAAACATATTTGAATGAAATAAACATGCAGAAAAAACAATAATAATCATACTTTAAAAAACAACAACCACATTTTATTGAACTGTGTTTTATGCAATTCAAAGAAATGAACACCCAGCCACAAAACAAAAGCAAACAGTGCAGAAAACAAAACGAAGTACAAAGAACAAAATTAAAAGAAACACAAGGAAACATAACCTCAGCTGGTACTGGTAGACGTTCACGTTCTCTCTGCACACTCTAAGGTGACAAAAAAAAGTCTAGTTAGGTTTAATACAACACAAAGTAAAAACCAAAAGAAGTGTTAAAGAATATCACAGAATTAACTTATCACAAAACAGAATTTCAAACATTCACTGCAAAATACAACGATTTTTACTCCTGAGAGCAGTTTTGAGTTTGCAGATCTGTAGGATTTTCCAATAGACTAGTCTAGTGAATAGTCTAATTACTGACAACTTTCTAAGTTCATTGACGAGAGTTTTTTTTTCTGGTCTTTTTAGTTTGGCCTAACCTAAACAGACATTTTCATATTTAGTGAGATATTAATATTTAAGGCCTAATGAACAAACAGTACTTATTAAACTATTTTACACATATTTCAAACTTATTCACTTGAAAAGTTAACAGTAATAAAGCTATAATAAACAATAAATAATATTTTACTATCTAGTATAGAACTGTATGGTACAGTTTGGAAACTAGTGATTCTGAAAAAAATATTTTGTGTACTTAAGTGTTTAATCAGGCTAGGTATACCTAATTTCTAGCTTTCCTCACATTAAGGCCCAGATATTTACATACATGTTTATTGTAAAAACAAATGTCAAAGGAACCAATACGAAAGATTATTATCATTCCTTTCTCTGCTATAATGCATATAAATGGGAAAATGATTATTATTAATAAATTGCTATGTTATTGAAAATGTTTTCTCTTGAAGATAGGAAAAACTTTAAAAAAGGAATTCAGGAAAATGTTTACTCGTGTATGAAAACAAATATGTACCATGATATTCAAAACATTCCAACTGTATATGTAAAAATTATTACTTTCTAATGCATTAAATACCCCACACTATCAAATAGTTTTGAACTGATTAAGCTTCAGACTCGAACTTATGTTACAGACTGCACAAAGAGTAAACAACTGAATGGATACAGTCCTGAAAAAAAAAAGTTATAACACTGAATGATAAAAAAATGTGAAAAATGGGTTATCTCTAGCTTAAGTAAATATGATACTACTAGTCAGTACTAACAATATTCACAATTCTTAGATTAAAATCAACATTGTTTTCACAAGTAAATGCAATGAATGTCTTCTTAAAAAATAAGTCAAGTAAAAGTATTAAAAGCCAAAAATTCCATGCATCTTGTCTATATTTTCTTCCCCTCCATGCAAGCAACTCACCGGTTTGAGTAAGTGACGACTCCTTTCAATGACAAACTGACAGAACTTGGGATTAGAGCTGCCAGGGAAGTGGTGCCCCTTTAGCTGAAGCGAGACAAACCCGAGAAAAGGAAGGAGACAGTGGTAAAAGCCAGATAGCAGATAGAGGAAAAGGAGATAAAAGTAACATCAAGTGATTTTCAAGAAGAATGGATAGCCATGTTAATAGCAAAGCTCAGATATTAAAGCAAGGTCATCACATAAACCCTTAATCACTCAAAACTTTTAACAATTCACATTACAACTAATACTTAAACTAAGGTTATATCATTTATATACAAACTATTCAGCAATATACATGTTAACACTATGCCACTTCTATAATTAAGATCTTACAAGACAAGCATAAATATGCTTTGAACTGAATGCCTCCCATCATGGAAAGAGCAAAAAAGTACATGCAATTTGTTATTATTGTAAGAAATAAAGAAAAATAGAAAGTGCAGAGCTAATGAGAGGCCTAAAAATGCTTTAGATCATTTGAAAAAAATTGTTATATTTGTTTTGTTTTTTACACAAACTTCTTTATTTTAAAAATCTCATATAAGTAGCACATATAAATTGAATTAATTGACATGCATGCACAAATTTATAGAAATATTTACTACTGTTATGTTTTCAAATAATGCAAATTATATCCCAAATATTGAAATTAATAAAAAATTAATGGAACTTTCATTACTTAACATTGAATGTAATATATCAGAAATAAGACTATTCTCCCCATTACCTATTTTTTTAATTGTAAGTTTGTAAGCCAAGCCCAAACTATTTTAGAACTGGCAGATTTGATATAAAAATAGCAATTATTTTCAATTCTGAACTGCTGAAACTGATGTTAAATGTAATGTTGATTTTAATGTTTTAACTGCACATATACATGTAGTTCAAAAATTAGGTTTAAAGTTTAAAACTGGCAAACTGAATAATTTCATGAAAGTAAAATGCTATCAATCATACGAAGCACTTAGTTACAACCAATTTTAACTTTTAATTATCCAAACTAATAAATATCCATGATAT